ATATTTTCATTCTCTTCAGGTTCTTGAATTGTATCAGGTCTCGAGTCTAAATCTGTCTTTTCTTGTTCAGTTGAGGTTTGATCCTTGATGCCTTCAACTATTTCCTATAATTGCTATTTTTCTTTATTTACGGTGCTCGTATCTGTTACAGCGTTGATACTCCTAGCTGTCTGCTGATCCCCACGAATTTGGCAAATTCCCCACGGTGATGGGAATTTAATAACTTGATGTAGAGTTGATGGGACAACATCCATATCATGGATCCAAGGTCTCCCCATGATCATATTGTAAGCCATTTCCATATCTACTACCTGAAATTTAGTTTCTTTAACAACTCCTGCAGCAAAAGTTGTTAGAATTACCTCTCCTTTTGTTACCATACTTGAATTGTCGAACCCGGACAAGGTATGCGCCTTAGGTATCATTTTGTCTTCAGCTTGCATTTCACGTAATACCCTTAATAGTATAATATTTACGGAACTTCCTGGATCAATCAAAACTCTTTACATTAGTATCATGTACAAGTAAAGATATTACCAGAGTGTCGTTATGTGGGGTCATTACTACTTCGGTATCTATATCATCGAAAGAAATACTTTCATTTTCTAAATCCTGCCGTACCCGTTTCCCGTGTGTTATCGTTACTTTAGAAACCTTGTTGGAAGCTGTATATGTTACACCGTGAATATCTTCTCCCCCACTTATAACATTCACAGTTCTCTTGGGTGAAGGGGGCTTTAGTGGCTCTTGCCTATTTTTCATATAGGCTTGCTTACCTTTCTCACTAAATAACTCAGTGAGATACCCTTGTTTCAATAGATGATCCACTTCACTTTGTAAGAATCTACATTCTGAAGTTTTATGCCCGTGATCATTATGGAATTCGCACAAATGGTCTGGATTGCGTCTATTTGGATTTGACCGCATCTCTTTTGTCCATCGTACCTTATCTCCCATGCTCCTCAAAACAGCTACGAGCTCGGAGGTAGTGACATTAAAGTTATATCCACCAAACCTTGCCTTTAAACTTCTGTCATCATCTCGTGACTCTTGTCTGTTTTGGTCATTTTTGAACCTTGATGAAGAACCAGATTCCCTGTTCCTCGATTTTTTATCATACCGTTGACTATCATGCTTTGACCGTGAGTCTTTCCCTGCAGGTCCCATATATGGATCATACCTATTCTTACCCGATCTCTTCTCGATCTCTGATCTCCTGGAACTGTTGCTTTCTTCATGATGAAATTGGGGAACGGTATCTTCCTCGATTCGCAGCTTCGTATTGTACCTGTTATAAACATCATTCCAAGTAGTTGTAGAAAATTCACGAAGACTTTCCTTAATCTTTCTCGTGGCTTCTGAACTTTTGTCATTTAAGTTGCTTGCAAAAGCTACTGCAGCCCAATTATCAGGAACGCGAGGCAAAGTCATTCTTTCACGTTGGAATCTATCAACAAAATCCCTGAGCAACTCGGAGTCCCCTTGTTTGATTTTGAAAATATCCTTCATTCTTTTCTCAACCTTTTGAGCTCCCGAGTGTGCTTTAATAAAAGAATCTGCAAGCTCAACAAAAGAATTTATAGAATTTTCAGGTAAAAGAGAATACCAGGTTAATGCGCCCTTGGTGAGTGTTTCTCCAAATTTCTTGACCAGTACTGATTCAATTTCTTGTTTGGTCAAGTCATTGCCTTTCACGCCTGTTGTAAATGCAGTCACGTGGTCACGTGGATCTGTTATACCATCGTATTTTGGAATGTCGGGTATTTTGAACTTTTTAGGAATTGGAAGGGGAGCAACACTTGGCTTCCAAGGTTGTTGTGAATATTTGTCCATATCCACTCCTCTAATCACAGGTGGAACTCCGGGGATTTGCTCTATGCGTTCGTTTTGTTCCTTAAGCTGTTTCTGCAAGGTTAGTACTAAATTTTGCCAATGAGAAGTAGTTGAATTACCTGGTTCCCCCTCCTGTGAATCACTGGGGGTTTCTCCATTACCCGAATTAATCAGCCCAGAACGGGGATTTTCCAACGTGTTGTCATTTGGTGTTGACGGTGCAACAGGTAATCGACGGATTAGAGCTTCTAAAGCTTTTTCAACCCGTACGTCAATTATTTTCTGTAAAACCTCATCTCTTCCATCAACATGCTCAGATTGATCATTAGGAGTGCCCTCACGAGATCCACGTGGAGAACCTTGAGGGGAAAGATCATCACGTTGATCTCCATCCACTTGATGTGCTTGATTTTCATGAATGTTTTCGTTGTTGTTTGACATGATGATAACAACAGGTAGGATGTAACGTAAAAAGAATAGATTATCAGATTCCCGATAACAGAACCAATTTGTTTAACCAAAAATCTGAGTCTTTGGTCAAAGCTAGAAATAAAGAGAAATTCGGGTTACTGATAATCTAGAGACGAAAATAATAGAAGATTTCTGAGAATAATAAAGTAATAAGTAGTTTTGTATTTTAGTGTAATCTCAATAATATTTCGTGTCCCTACAGATGTTGAGTCTTTCTCCTTTTATAGTTGATTCTAGGAGAAGGTGTAATGCCTTTGTCTTAATGAGGCAATTATGAGCAATAAATGACATTAGAAGAAGCGTTACACAATCATTTCTATTTAATTCAAATTTTCTAACGTATTTGATATTTAATGCTGTATTTAGACTCTTTTACGTCATCAGATTCATATCTTCAACTTCTTCCGATCTTCGGTCTTTAAATGACTCGAATAGGTACGAGACTCGTGCCATTTGAGTAACGGTCCACACCTATGTTGCTTTCTTCTCCCCATATCTGTTGTCGCCCGTGCCTCTTGGCTATTTATTGCGTTTTGACCTTTTGACCAGTTCACGTGTCATGACACGTCATCTTCAATATTCAGACTCAGTTTTTTCCCAATACAACAGGACCAATAAACCTATAGTGAACCTGGTAAACATTATAGAAAAAATAAGTCACGAAAATCAAAATGAGACATCAAAATATACTTTAAACTTGTTCGAGCCTTGCCACATCAAGAAATGTGAAATTCGTTTATACGAGTTGTTAACATGTCGTATTGCCTATTTTTACAATATTAGGATATTTATTTATTACCTCTATCATATAAATTGTTGATTTTTGGATAAAATTAAAACCTAAAGATTTGTTTTCTTTAACCAAAAATTTACTGAAGACAAGTTCCAAAAGGTCTACACGTCTATAAATTCACGTAACAGGAAATCTTAATTTAATATATTTCAGACATCGCATATTCGGTTACACTTGAAGTAACTCTTGTGTTTCTTTTTATTTTCACTCCGTTCTTGTCATATGTTCGTGGAACATACCGATAGTCACACGAAACACGTTGATGTAACCATTGCACATTTCTCTGACATGAAAATTGCAAAAAATAAATAAATAAAAGAAGACCAAAAAATAGAAGAGGATGAACATACTTTAAGCTCAGCTTACATGAAATTAATAGCCCGTTTGGCCAAGCTGCAATTGCCTGCAAAAATAAGCTTATTTTGAGAAGTGCTTTTTTTCAAAAGTACTTTTCTCAAAAGTACTTTTGGTGAGAAGCAGTGTTTGGCTAATTAGTTTGAAAAACATTTCTGAGCAGCAATTAGTGTTTGGCCAAACTTTAAAAAACTGCTTCTAAGTGCATTTTTCTCAAAAGTACTTCTCAAAAAAGTGCTTTTGGAGATAAACTACTTTTTTCTGCTTCTCCAAAACTGCTTCTGCTTCTCGAACGAACAAGCTTTAAGCGTGATTAGCAACCAAGCAACAATCATTTGTAAAACTCACTATTAACAATCATAAACATAAACACTGTCCCCACATGGGTGGTAGAGTGGGAGTAAAAATAAATCTTTTCAAAAATTTAATTGGGAGAAAGTGAAGTTGTTGTTAAGAAAAAAATGAGCAATGATTTTTTTTGGGTAGTCTAATGCAGACATTACTCTCTTTGCCCCCTACCATAATTCAAAGTTAACATACCAATTGAGCTTTTCATAAATCACTCATCATTTCACATGATCCCCCTAAGGTAATAGTGTAATATTTCCCTTACAGCCATTTATTATATACTGAACTGATGGTATTGCTAGAACAAAATTATCTGACAATTTAATTCATGTATCATAATTAGCCGCCTAACGTTGACTTCCGCCATTGATCGTGTTTGATTACATAACATTTTAAAATGCACCGAAAGAAGTAAAATGATGTACCAAATTATTTTATCACTTAACAGACTAGACGATAGACCCACCAAAAACATGGAACTATCTTTTTTTTCTTTTCTTTTTAATTCAAATTATTTTATGAGAACAAAGGAAATCGCTTTAGTTTCGAACAAAAGCAGGAACCAAGTGAGTTTATTTTAACTTTTTTTATTTTATAAAAAAATTCTGAAATATTTTGAATCAACACCATTTTTTTCTTTTTGATAAGGTAAACCAAACACCATTAGAGAAGAGTTTCTTCGATTTTTTCAAAATATGGAAAACTATTTCGAAAGTGCTCCTCAGTTTTTTTCCAAAAACTAAAAAGCTTTTTCCTAATGGCATACCTTTTTTTTTTTTGAAACAAAATGCTTTACCTAAACAAAAGATGACAACCAGAGATTTGGAATTCAACAGAATCTAAAATCTGCAACATGCTTAAATTACAAGTGAGGAAAAACATAAAGTGGATGCAATTGGAGCTAAAAGTTAATATTGCATAGATGTATAACCTTGTCAATGAACAGATCAATCATTTGAGGCACAAATAATGCGATTCACAAAAAATGTGGTCATGCTCTAATAGTACCATTCCACATATCAAACCATCTTACAACACGACACATGATGTTTTATTGATGCCCCATGTTATGCACATGAAAAATTTTGTCACCTAAATATCAAGTAAAAAAAAAGGAAAAAACATAGTCCATAACTCCATATGCAAACAAGTATAGTAATCTAACTTCACAACCATGTAAACTGGCCTGTTTCAAATGAACTTAAAGGTCAAATTCCTCTTGACGATGTTAAAAAAATCCACCAAGTAAACATACACTAGTATTTGAAAGATACAAGATACAGAATTCTGATTCCTAAATAAAAAGCATGAAACAAGAAAACCAGAATTCTCTACAAAATTTGATACCGAATACGTTGGAAGTACCTGCAAGTCTCATTATAAAACAGTTAAAACTGAAAATAACAATCATTTTTTTACACAAATTATTGGATAGCTTAGTGCAAGGGAACCAATGACCATTTGTGGCAGGAAATTTTAGGCTCAAGCAAACAATGAAGCACTGAGGCCTAAAACATCAAATCTCTTATTCCTTATCTCTGTGGAGTGTGGTCTACATACACAATGTACTTCGTGTTTCATTTAGTTGTCATATGGTGATAAAGTACTGAAAAGACAGTACATTTGGCCTTCAATTTCTCACTATCTCATGAACAACAACAACAACAACAACAACAAACCCAGTGTAATCGCACAAGCGAGGTCTGAGGAGGGTAATGCGTACGCGGACCTTACCCCTACCTCGTGAAGGTAGAGAGGTTGTTTCCGATAGACTCTCGGCTCAAGGAACAATGACAAGGAAGCTTCTCACTATCTCATGGAGGACATCAAATATTACTAGACTGTTAACAGAAAGCCTAAAATATCTCACAGCTGCAGGCTGCAAAGAGCAGAAGACAAATGACAACACAGATGCTCATCAAATATCTTGCTATTTTCCCCCTTTTTCTTTGTTCTTTTGTTCAGTATGAGAAACAGAGAGTATATCATACAGAACTACCAGCAAAAGTTTAAGCTCTATTAACATGTTGCTGTAACATATCAAGAAAAATGAATGCAAAATCTGAGATATGTAATTACAGAAATGCAAAGTATACCTACTCTTCAGAATCCCCACAAAGCCTCAAGAATTTGTATAACTTATCTCCTTAACCAAAAAAACTTGACGATCACAACATCGGCCAAACATTTGCATCCTTATCCATGCATATCCAAGGTTGACAAACAATACGTAATTCACGCCTTGAAAGCCATCTCAGCAAGCAATGTGATTGGTACCGTAGCTAATTGCCGTCAAGCTAGTGTCGGACATGTTTGTTACCCATGGATGAGGGCTATCCCCCATTCCTCTTATATTATATGCATAAGACGGCCACCTAACATCCGAAACACACAACTTTGTATCGCCCATGTTAATCATCTTCTGGGTTCTGTCAAGAACAACAAGGCTAGAAAACGTTGAAAAACTGTTCCCTACAAAGACATCAGATCTTAAGCAAACTTCATAGTCGATAGCAGATTGAAATATGTATGGCTGCTTCTTGTAAATTTCAAAAACACCCAGTTTTTTCTTCTCGAAAGGAAGCAATCCGTCCTTCCAACCATTCAAGACAGTATCATCTTCAAGAAGAGTATCGGCGACAGCAAGATAAACAACTACAGGGGTTTTAAGACCCGGGATGTTTCCCACTCTGGCCATAATCTCTTCCTTACTACTACAAATTTCACTAATGTTTAATCTCTGCTCCAGCTTCTTACAGTGAATCATCCAATCCTTTTCTATTCTCATGTGCACAGCTACATAGGGAACTGACTCTGATGAAGAGCTTGACATCAGAACCTTACTTCTCACCTCCATTCCTATTTCTCTAATCTTGGAGATAACTTTATCTGCTTCTCTAGATATCTCCTCTACCAAAGCTAAGCAGTCGAAAACCTTCGCATAGTCTTTAGCCGGCCAATGATCATGCCACAAAAATGGGTTCTTCCCGACTACACGAACAATCTCATGTGCATCATATGGATGCTTACTAAATTGAGTCAACTGCTCAAAATCTTTTTCCAACGTCCACCTTCGTCCGCTGCCTTTCTGAAGTTCGATAACATCACTTTGATTTGAAACGTCTGAATAGCGACTCAATTGGGCAAACCCTTTACAAACGGAATTAAATCTTTCAAATTGGAAGACCTTATCGAAGGAAATGGGCTTCAAAAGTTCGACTTCTTTATAAAACAGCGAAGCACTCAATTTAGGCATCAACAGTGTTCGATTGAGCATGCGTGCAGTCAAACAAGCTCTAGCAAAAGCAATCTTCTGATTGTTCAATCCCCAAACAATCTGAGGAACTTCTAAAAACTTCTGTTTTACGGCTTGATTTGATGGAAATGATCGGTTGTGGATAAGGACAACATTGTTGTGTTGAATGACCCCGCCAAGTCCAGAGAATGTTGGAAGCAGAACAGTTCCCACGAACAAAGCAATGACAACTAACCCCACACATTTTCCAGCCAAGGAATTCAAATGGACTCCAAAGAATGTCAAATGCTTACAATTTGGTAAGTCCATTTGAGATTCAATCCAAATAGTTCAGATATAATTCATCCCAAATATTATCACATCCCAATAATGTTCAATGAACCAAGCAACAACATCCCATAATTGTTCAATCCTCAAGTTCAGTCATAGAAGTCAAACCTGATTCCTCTCTTTTCTGAGTAGATAACAAAAGACAAGAGAAAAGAAAAGGAAAATCAAAATATTTTTCTACTGCATGTGAAAACCACTTCTAAATCAGAGAAGAATCTATTGACTTACCTCAATTGAAGCTATAATTCTGAAAGCAGAACCCTCTCGATCGACCAATATAGATTCAATTTCTGAAAGTCCAGAAAGAAAATCCATTAAAGGGAGAATTTGATCTCTACATCGATCAATAAAGAAAAGAAATATCATTACTTACATCTCGTGTAACAAAAATCATTTCTTTGTACAAACACAGAATAGAATCCAGATATAATTCAGTCTCTTAGAATCCAGAAAACCCCATCAAAGAGGAAATTGATCTAAAAATCATGTTAAAAATCCTTTTTTTCCTGCTATATCCCAACTCCACGGAGATAACAACCATGAAAGTCAAACATCCCTTAAATCCAAAAATGGAAAAAAGTTAAGAAGAAGAAGAGCCCAGAAACCCAAAATGGTACAAAAACATGATGCATGCAATCCCAACAAAACAAGAAAAGTGAGGTAATAGGGACTACCCCAAGTGGGGTTTGTGGGGGTGGGGTTAGGGATGAGTAAGGAAGAAGAAGAAGGTTTAATATAAAAAAAAAAATCTCACCTTTGAGTTGTGTTGGAGCAAAGTGAAACTCAAAATTCGTAAGGGATTTAGACAATAAGCATGAATCCAAAATGTGAAAAAGAATAAAATTTTGAGAGAGAGAAAAAGGGCAAAACGGAAGATGAGCTTTGCATGGAAGGGACGAATGAAGAAAAGGGAAATTCAGAACTCGTAAAGCGAAAGCAAAACTGAAAGCCAACAACGCATCACCATCATGCCAACTCACAACACATAGAAAATTCCTCGAATTAGCAAATTCTTTTATCTTTTCTTCTTAAAAAAATAGGGAATCTAACTAGGGAAATATTTAATGTGTGACATTCGTAAGAGTAACCCCATGTTTTGGATTTAGTATCGAACCAAGATGAGTGATCTGAATATGTTATTAAATCTGACGGATTCCTACAGCTTGATAAAAATATTATAGTCTAACCATTATTAAATATTTACACAATTTTGTATATATGTTAGGAAAATGGAAATTAAACTTTCCATCTCAATGATACTGATTATTTTCTTCCTTTTTTTGGTGTATTCATGTATAACCAGTTTTCCAATCCAATGATTTCAACGTCCAATTTGATACACTCGGGGGCGTATATAGAATTTTTCGTGTCGTATTTACATAAATCAGAAAATAAATAAATATTATCTAATATTATTTTCCCACAAGTTGAAAGCTAAGGCATCAATGATGTAGTTGAATATCACTGCAAAGGAAGATATAGGTTCAATTATCCTTAGCCTCACAATTTTAAGAAAAATGCTCGCTCAAAGATATTTAAGAAATAAAATATCTAGGTCCAGCCTTGAATCTACGACCTTTACAAGCCCAAATACGAGCTTGACCAATGGATCAAGAAGTACTTTTTGTCAGGAAACGGTGTTATTAGAATATTAATATAAATATTTAATATTTTTTCCCGACGAAGAGGATCCGCCCATGTACGTTCGCCCCTGGTCATACACTCATTACATAATCTAGAATTGCAATGTAAAAATTAAATGTAAGAGCATGAGCATGATTATTCGCAAGTTAGGTTATAGGCAGGATGAACCGTTCCACGTTAAGACCAAAAAAGATAAGCAGCACATTGAGTAGCTATTAGCTTGAGCCAGCAACTTAACTTGATTCTAAGATCGATTAAGTACAATTACAGTCATGTTTTAATGCAATCAAACAATACACAATCGATTTTGTTTTTTTGCGTCATTTTTCGTAACTACACATTTAAAATCGTTCGATGGGCAACTAATTAGGACAGCATTTGGAGAACTAATACCAGCGAACAAGACCAACTCCAAAGAAAAAATATATACAACACTAGAAAAAATATACTCTATACAACACTTAGTTGGATTAGGAAAGCAATTGAATTAACAAGCCAGAAATAGAAATTGTCGTCGCGGTTATCAAAGCTGTACTAGTTTGAGATATTTACAATAAAGTAAGCAAAATCTGATATTGTGAAAATGGCAAATGGTTGGAGCACAATAACTACACCCTCTATTTCAATTTATATATAATAGTTTGACCGATCATAAAAGAGTATGAAAGACTTTTAAATTCTGTGATTTTAAACTAAAAATGTGCGTAATATATCAAAAATGTGCTTGAATTTTATGGTCTTAAATATACTATATGGAAAATTGGAGTTAAAAATCTATGAAATGTAATTTATTTATTTATTGAAACAGATCAAAAAAATATGACACACAAATTGAAACGGACTTAGGAAGACTCGAGCAAAGATTGAGAGGGGACAACTCAAAAAGTCACAAACAACCACACTAGAAGTAGGGGGGGGTTATTCAAACAAAGGAGTTGAAGTAAGCATTGGAAAATGAAAAAAATTGAGGAAAAGGACTAAAAAGGGAAACTGACAAAAATAATGTTAAAGAGTGAAAAGGAGAAGACTACTTGTAACAGAATTTGATTCAAATAAATCTGACAACCTAGAACTATCTACAGATAATAATTCAAGGGAGTATCTCATGTGAAGGTCTTTCCCCAAAGATAGCCACGTCATATGGTCTTGTATTTTGAACCCAAAAACAAATGCCCGAGCAATTTAACAGAAGCACGTATTAATTCATTTTGGTTGGTTTAGTTAGTGGGAAATAATTTGTAGGAGGAAATGCCATAGAAAGTGGCTGAATTAGCTGGGACAGTTGGAGGATAACTTGACGAAATTAATTAAGTGGGAAGCTTGTGACTTTGAACAACTTGATCACCTAAGCATGTGCACTTGCGCACACCATTCCATCAATCCTTTATAATTTATATCTCCATTTTCTTGTTTTCTCTTTTTGTTTTCTTCGTTTTAAAGAGAGAGAGAGAGGGATGGATGAAGGTTTAATTTATGCTTTCTTCAATCCCTAAGATGCCCGCATGTTTCCCAACAACTTGCTACTACTAATTAATTATTTTGTTCTATTTTAATACTAGCACTTCTTCCCCTCTTTTCGGCTTTTATTTTTCTATTTCTAATCCCCTTTTAAATATGTTCTTTTGTCCTCATTGGTTAGTGCTATATCTTCCATGTCTGAATTGTTACTAAAACTTATATATATAGTTTGGTAAAAATTGAATAATTAAAATTTAGTAATTTGTTTTAGTTTCAATTTAATTTAATAACCTGATGTGTAATTTGGATAAGATTTTTGATTTTCTGCAAAAGTTCCATAACACGCCTACCAAATTTTTATATATAGTATCTTCCAATAAGGATTTCTTTTTTCATAAACTAATTAATCAATAAAACAATATTGGAAGCAAATAATTACGATTTCATTAACAGTTTGAACAGAGATAAATTGCTGTTTGGGTAAATAAAATCTAAATTAACTAAATTGATTTAAACCAAACATGAAGCAAGTGTAATTGGTCTCAATGTTTATCACTTTGTTAAAAAATCGGTTTTAGTCTTTTCAATTCCACTTGTACTCTTTTTTTTTTGGTTGTTGTGTGTGCCTATATTCTACATGCCAAGGAAATACTTTTGCCTACATAATACATACCACACGCTTGTGCTTAAAAAATATTTGCATCCGATGGCAACTTTTAAGTTATAAAGCCGTCACGCAGAAGCGGACCCGAGATTTGAATCTAACAGGGTCATACTATCTTTAAATATGTTAATTACTAACGATAAATTTTGGCCGCCGAATCGATAGATGGTCGAAGTAATTGTTAAAGGGCAAGCTTTTTATATTGAGGGAGGGACTTGAAAAGAATAATATTAATTAAATTAAGTTGACTATTATATACAAATATTAAATAATAATTAATCTTAAAAAGATTTAAATATTTAAAAAACACTTGACTACTAAGTATAACAACCATTGGAAGCAGTAACGTAAAAGGGCCTATAAAAAGGAGAAGTTGGTTTCGATCCCAAGACATTCTGCGCGAGAAAGGGCTTCAAAATACACTCATCCAACTTTAGTTAGTGAGTTTAGGGCACCAGTAAAATATTTAACGGGTTCTATATGTATATACCTATATATATTTTGATTTTGTAGAGGCCAACGGACTCCCGTGACCCCCTACGGACATTTACGCTTTCATTAAAATTGATAAAAGCTAGAGATTAGCTCCACACTATGTCCCTATATTATAGGGAAAATATCAACAATTACTATTTATAAATAGCTTATTACAAAATTGGTCAATTCCTAAAATATTACCAATATTAGTCAATTAGCTATTTGTAGCCAAAAAAGGTTAAATTTTTGCTTTCTTTTGAGTGGGTGTTATTAGAATAGATTGGGTACATCTTAAGGAGCTTGAATCTCAATTTTGGGATGATTTGATGGAGTTTTGAGGTAGTTTGAATTGAAAATTCGAAGTAGAAGATGAACATGAAAAAAATGATATGTGTATCAAACTATGTATCAAACATGTATCATATTTGTATCAAATGGGTATCACATATATATCCATGTATACATGTGTGTGAGATACATGTTTGATACATGTGTCGCAGAAGAATTTTTTGAACTCGATTTTAACTACGAATTTTGATACTAAATCAATCTAAATCACCTCCAATCTTCCTCAAAATTTATATATTGACTCATCTATATGTTTTCAATGAATCTCAATCATGCCCATAGAAAAAAGTCATATTTTGTTAGATTTTTGGAATCTTATATATATNAAAACCTTATTTATTTGTGTTTTTAATTTTTATATGTGTTTGGCTAGTTTTGGTAAACCTATGATTAATGGCTAGAGGTTGGTAAGTTTGGACTTTTTTGGGACATTTCTATAAGATTCCCTATAGATGCTAAATTACAAAAAAATACACATGACTTCACACCATAACAAAAAATGGCCCATGTTTTTAAAGTTTACCCGGTATAACCCAGTTTATATAGAATTTGAAAGAAAGATTTCAATCACTGAACTAGTTCTCCTTTTTCCTACACGCCAAAATGTTCTCTCCCCATTTGCCTCTTCATTCTCTACAAGCCATCATATTCTATCCTCTATATTTTTTAGATTTATCTCCCATATTTATCTTCTATCTTCTTTAATTTTTAAATCTATCTTTCATCCTATCTTTTCTCCTCTCTAATTTTCAGATCTAATTTTCCTTAACTTTTTTTAATTCTCTCAAACTTTCCTAATGCAAAAAGATGAAAGTCTAGAGTAAGATGAAGAATATGAAGTTAGTTGTTCGGTTGAAAAGATTGAGGAAGAAAACATTTGACCCATTAATGATTTAAGTAATTTTGATTGATAAATCTCGAGTCTCTTACTGAGCATTTGGTATCGAAATATAAGTCCCAAAAATCATAATTCCACCACTTACGAAGCTAAAGTTTTCAGATCTGGAAGTTTTCATTGTGAATTGGTGCTTCAATCCAGATGGGTATTGACTAATAATAGTATTATTAATCGAGCGAGACAAATTTTAAGAATTTGAGATTCATCTAGACCTATCTTGAGCTGATTGGTTCTTCTTCTTCTTCTTCTTCTTCTTCTTCTTCTTCTTCTTCTTCTTCTTCTTCTTCTTCTTCTTCTCGTTCTTTTTGATAATATTGGTGTTAAAACAGAGGTGTAGTAATGCACATAAGGTATTTTCTGTGCATATGCTGTATCACTGGTGTTTATGCACACTTATACAAATATTATATAATTATGTATAAATAGGTATAAGTGTGTAGATTTGTGTATAATGATGTATAATTATATTTTTTTCAGTGTATAAGGGTGTATATACATTATTATTGTATAAGAGGTCTTCAGGGAAGTTTGACACTTTTTTCTATATGGTATATTCTTTTTGTTGAAATAAAGATTTAATGATGGCTGGAAAGTTTTTTTCTAGTGTAAAATATACCTGCTGAATTTATGTACATTCAGTGCATATGCTGTATATACTCATACATATGTATTATATATATTGTATAAATATGTATAAGTGCGTATAATTATATATATATANATAAAATGACAGTATACTCCCTTTTTTGGTAAATTTCGGACAAAAATAAGGCAAAGAGAGGGGAAAAATAAGGATTTAAAACCACGTGATGACTTGACTTTTTGTCAGATAGTCACATTAATCTGGAAGAGAAAAAAACAAATAGGAGAAATAGAAAAAAAGAAAAGGAAAGAGATCGTTATAAGATTGATGTCAGGCGATGATGTCAGTCAGACGATAATGTCAGAGGGTTTTATTGGCTATACGGATGAAAACTTAAAATGGTGGCTACGCAGATGAAGAGCACCTATTTAGGCTGTACTTATGCGAAATTATTAAGTAATGCTTATGAGATCAGCCATTCTACCATATGATCCATTCAACGAAGGCTAGAAAGCATAAAGAACGAATGTTAAAATAAGAATAACAACTGACTACATATTTTTGTGATCCTTATGATTGATAAAATTATACCACGCAACAAGCAAAAAAAATTAGTTTACACTTTACATGAAAAGGAATGAAAGGCGTACAATATTCTCTCTCTATCAGGTCTCAATTAAAATAACCTGAAGTACTTAAAGTTTTGATGATTGAGCAGCAATATCAATCACAAACCGATACTTAATATCGTTTTTCTCAATCCTTTCATAAGCTTCATTAATCCTGTCAGGTGTGACTATCTCTATGTCACACATTATATTATACTTCCCACAAATGTCTATCATTTCTTGTGTTTCTTTTATGCTTCCAATCATGCTTCCTTTCACAGTTCTCTTACCTGCAAATTAAATTGCAATTCACAGTTTTAAGGGGTTATTTCAAACACAATGCATAAGATAATGTGCAGGCATTGATTAGGTCAACTGTCACAAACAAACTAATTAGGTGATCTATTTCGTTATTTGGTGTAAAATTCGTGAAAATATCACTGGCTAACCATTTTTTTAACTGATAATTAAAAAATAGCCAATATTTGTAAAGTCATTGAGAAATAGTCACTGTTTTGCTGAAACACGGAAACTTTCAGCATGATATGCTAAATTATGGGGCTCCTGCGTACAAACTTCAAGCATATTATGTTGGAACTACAGCACATTATGAAATGAGATCTTTACATAAATAGCCTTCCATATTTATTGTTTATTTTTTCTAGCCATATACATAGTTTATACATTGATTATATACAATTATACACATATAATATATAAACTATACATATATTATACCTCCACGAGCTATTTTTAGTTTAAGTGGTTGGGTGAACGGCTATTTGGATTAATTCTTCTTAAATCTCATATGTATAATAATTCGAACTCTAGCATATTATGCAATATTTTTTTCGAATTTTAAGGGTGTTTTGTTTAGATTTTATCTTTATATAAAAAAGTGGCTAAATTTTGATTACTTTTGAAACCGTGACTATTTTTCAATTAACAATTGTAAACCTGACCATCTTTAAATATGACTGACTTACCAAATATTAATGGAAATGATGGAAGGCCCAAAGGCTTGTCTGGTGCACCCACTATAACAAAAGTTCCTTTAACTTTGAGCAGCTCTAAGTATGGCCCAAGAGAGTGATTTGCTGACACTGTATCCAATATGAAGTCCAATGTCTTCTGCCTCGACTGTCATTATTATTATTATTATATCCAAATTAGAAAAAAAAAACCGATTTAATAGTAATTTTTAAAAGTTTATACATATTTAAACATGTTACACATATATATGGATATTTTAAAAAGAAAAGGAGGAAGTGGAAATATATAACAAACCTGCATTTGATGTGTATTAGAGCTAGCAATGAAATCATCAGCCCCTAATTTGGATTTGGCCTCATTTTCTTTGGATAAAGAAGTGCTTATGACAGTAACATGATGCCCAAATGCTTTTGCAAATTTAATAGCCAAATGTCCCAAACCTCCTAAACCAATAACTCCTATTTTTTTCCTAGGTGAGTCAATCAAGTTATTGTCTTTCATTGGGCAAAACACAGTAACTCCTGCACATAACAATGGTGCTGCTCTATCCATTGGTAGGTTGTCTGGTACAGCAACCACAAACCTTCAAAATAATAAGAATATAAATTAGTTTTATCAAAATTGAGATAGAAGAACTTAGGATACTAATTAATGCTTAATACTTTACCTATAATCAGCAACTAGCATTTTGGAATAGCCTCCATAGGTAATGCTACCATCCCAAAAGACACCATTATATGTGAATTGAACTTTGTCACAATAATTCTCTTCTGAGTTTTTACAAAATTCACATTCTAAGCAAGATGCTGACATGCATCCAACTCCTACTTTATCCCCTGTTTTGAAGTTGGTTACATTGCTCCCAACTTCCACAACAATCCCTGTAATCTCATGCCTAAATTACACGAATAAAAAATTAGAAACTTATTAATTACTATGAAAAGTAAAAGGACAAAAGAAAAAGAGAGAAGTTTATAATTGATTATTACCCAGGAACAACAGGATACATAGTGATACCCCAATCATTTTTGGCATAGTGAAGGTCAGTATGGCAGATTCCGCAGTATAAAATCTTGATGGTCACATCATTTACACCATTCTCTCTGCGTAAGCATGATGTAAAAATTAAATTTTCAGTAGAACAAAATGACAAATATCTCGCACAAATTATGTTGCTTTAGTACCATAAGTATAATACTCCGTCCCTTCCGCTTCATACGAGGGCATTTATAGTTTGACTAAGTACAAAGTTTGCGAAGACTTTTAATATATGCCAAAAATATTCTTAGAACTTGTAGTGTTAAACATCTTATAACACTTTTCTAGCTATAAGAGCATGTAATCAAGAGCAAATGAAAAGTTAACAATTAAAAAGTTCATAAATATAGAAGTGCATGATTCTTTGTGGAACTGACTAAAATAAATGGAGTGTCATATAAAATGGAATACTATATATTACGTAGCAAAGATATTTATACATGAAAATCACGAATACCTTCTATTGAAAATGTAAGGTGTGATCTTGCCAGAAGAATCAAGAGCTGCCCATCCTGAAACAACTTGAGTGTGGTTTGGGGTTGTTTTAGCCATGAAAACTTTCCTTTTCTTTTGGGTGGTGGGAATTTACTTTCTTTGTGTGAGAAGAGTCGGAGATGTAGTGGCGAGAAGTGAGAATAGAGTACAACAGAGAGCTCCTTTTATAGTGTTAAACTTGACTAGAGTTTGAGATGAAAATTAGGTTGTTAAGGGTGGTTTTGACCCCACAATTAACAGTACACTTTCATTTTTATATTGAAAATATCCCATGTTAATTTCAAAGAAAATGCATCCTACAAAATGACAAAAAGTATTGTTATACCGAGATACTGAACTAACTCTTTTTTTCTAACTAGTCTTAGGATATGCGCTTTGCGCATGTTTCCTATATCAATAAATATATATCTTCTTAAAATATTAAAATAAAAAGGTGAACGACATTTCGCTAAAGACCTTCGTGCTTTTAATATAGTATATAGATAGATAGATAAATGAAGAAATCCAACGGAGATTCCTCCTCTAATTTTGTCCTTTTATTTCTTTGTTTATTCTTTTTCTCCAGCCATTCAATTGAAAATACACCCTTGTATGTAATTTCAATTCAATCCCCGTGCAATGTATAAATAAAAATTTCTTTCATTTCGTATACTTTTCTTTCACCTTTCTATAAGCGACCCTATATTTATAGTAGAAATAATTTAACCTGGAACTACGAATGAAAATAGGACTATTGATTTCTGATCTTTGACATTGTAATTTTCAGAAAATTGAAAAACAAAAATTAGCGCGAGATCAATCTCCAAATCCTACTTTGATATGGCCCTCGATAGGGAGGCGTGGAGGTCGAAGATTAGGGTTGTGAGCACATGCGGATGTAGAAGGTTGACTACGGGTTCAATTGAACCCATAACTTTCCACGCGGAGTAAAAATTTATATGTAAAAATTCCTTAAAATTATAAAAATAGTAGATATGAACCCATAACTTTAAAAATATAATGGGTTCAATGCTAATATCTTAAAAATTGAACCCATAAAATATAAATCCTGGATCCGCCTCTGATTTTGGGTTGACAGGTAGTCGAGAGTCTCTTCTAGTCGTACTAGTAGTATTAGTACTAGTCTTGTATTTTCCTATTCCGAGTTCCTTGTTTTTAACGATGTGGCATTATTGCCGGTAGTTTTCGCACTTCTCTTATAGCTTCATGTTCCTAGTTTCTTTGCTATTACATGTTGTGCTATTTGTTTATGTTATCTTATTTTCTTGCCATTGTCACTGTTTGTTTATTGTGTCCTTTTCACTGTTCTTAAGTCGGGGGTGTATCGGAAATAATCTCTCTTCCTTTGTAAGATAGAAATAATTAGACCTGTGTACACATTACCTTCCCCAAATTCCACGTATGAGATTGCACTGGGTTTTGTTGTTGTTGAGATCAATCTCAAATCCTACTTGTTATAGTACTTTTTATATGGGTAAAAGCAAGAAGAAAAAAACGGAGAAATAAAGAAACAACTTACTGAAATATCACAAAGAGTAGCCGTCACACCAACTCCTTTTCTGGTCAAAAGTCAAATAGTTATTAAATCTGGTTCACACAATGTGAAATACCAATGATAGAATCGTAGAAATTAGACTCCCATTGACCATTCCCACTTCAGGTGGACCATCCCAAAGGTTGTTAAGGCTATTGAAGAAAGAGAGAAGAAATAAAACAAAGAAGTATGTGAATCTTCTTGTAATTAGTACGGAAGCATTTCTTACTTACCCATGAATTTCGTAGAATCTCATTCTCAATTAGCCAAACGGGCTATTAGTCCACTATAGAATCAAGTCATTTCCTGTAAAAGCCTCTGTTGTCTGCAGTTGAAACCAAAAAATTAAAGTCGATCATTTCTATGATTATTTTTAAATCTTACATCTTTTTTGTGAAGAAACATGAAAATGAAGGTTAACATAGGTAAAATTTGAACTAATAAAAAGGGAGAGAGTTCATTACTTTTGTTCTTTCTTTTTGCCGTTTTGGTATAAAATGGAAATCCTAACAATAAAAAATTTTGGCAAAAATAAGTTACTTATGCGAAAAGGTTCAACCATCTATATTATATTAAAAGGAGGGTAGTGAATCATGAGATTAAACCAAGTGGCGTATTGAGAATATGACACTTGGTGGCTTTAAGATAAAATCTAAATAAATTTAAGACAAGATCTAAAAAAAATTGTGATGACCCAAAAACAAATACTGTGTTCTGAGGCCTTAAAACCTCCTTTTTACCTCACCTCGATTTACGTGTGTGGTTCGGACCTATATCCGGAAAGCCTTTTTATGTGAAAATATGAGAAATAGAGATTTCTATAGTTAAAATTTGATTTTAGTTGACTTTGGTCAACATATTGAGCAAACGGACCCGGATATGTGTTCTGACGATCTCGGGAGGTCCGTAGTAAAATATGGGACTTGGGCGTATGCCCGAAAATGAATTCCGAGGTCCCAAGCCTTAGAAATCAATTTTTGAAAGAAATTGTTTTGCTGAGTTATTCATGAAATAAAGAAAAGAATTACTGTTTGAAACCATTAGTATCAGGCCCGTATTTTGGTTCCGGAGCTCGGTACAAACTTGTTAAAGTATTTAAATGATAACTGTAAAATTTGGTGAAAAATGGAGTTTATTTGACGTGATTTGGATCTCCGGTTGAAGAGTTATGAACTTTAAAGTGTTCTTGATGAAAATGATGAGTTTTGAGGTTTAATTCATAATTTTATATGTTATTTTCATGATTTGGTTGCACGAGCAAGTCCGTATGATATTTTTAGGTTTGTGTGCATGTTTGATTTGGAGTCCTGAGGGCTCGGGTGAGTTTTGAATAGGCCACAGAGTGGAATTTGGACTTAGGAATTTCTGGTGTGTTGCAGGCCTGCAAGCTTCACAAATACGAGCAATGGGTCGCAAATGCGAATAGTGGCCTGGGCTACCTTGGTCGCAAATGCAAAGTACTTGTCGCAAATGTGACATCGCAAATACGAAGGAAGTATCGCAAATGCGAAGAGGACTGGATTCCTCAGGGTTTGCAAATGCGAGGTTAGCAGTCTGAGGGGTTCGCAATTGCGACACCTGCAACCTACAAAATCATAACTTAGATGCATTTCAACCATTTTTCAAACCCTTTCAAAACCAAAATACTTGGACGATTTTTCAAAGACAAGTACTCTTCCAAATCGATTATACGAGCAAATTGGCAGTGGAATCAAGAGGTAAAGCGATAGTTGAGACTTGAATTGTGTTCGTGGCATCGAGGTAAGTGCTTGGTCTAACCTTAGCTTGAGGGATTAGGAGTTGTGTCCTATTTGCTATGCGTTATTTGTTGAGTACGACGTATAGACATAGTGACGAGTGTCTATACGTTGGTGTCCAAGCATGCCTTTGAGTCTTATATTATGACTATTATGACTCCGTTTGTATTGTCCATGCCTTATGTGATGGTTTCTATTGTTGAACAAAGCTTGTGGAAGAAATAGTGGTATTTGAATATTGAAGAGCGTTGGCTCAAGTTGTATAGTGAATTGTGGAAGTATAATTGGCAATTGAACCTTATAGAGCATTGGCTCAAGTTGTGAAGTGAGTTATGAAGTAAGTGTGAAAAAGAGAAGAGGATTATTATGTTGTCTCCCTTGCCAGGATGTTGTTGCTTTCAATGCTATCTCTCTTGCTCGGATGTTAATGTCTTTGATATTGTTCCCTTGCCGGGATTTAATTGTTGTACAATTGTTCCCTTGCCGGGATTTGATTGTTGTACAATTGTTCCCTTGCCGGGATTTTATTGTGATTTCACTTGCTTCCTTGCCCTATTGCTTGTGATTGTTGTTTGGGTGAGGAATAGTGTTAAAGCACGAAGGGTGATCCCGTGCATTGTTTTGGTGAGAGAGTGTTAAAGCACGAAGGGTGATGCCATGTATGATTTTGTGAGGAAGAGTGTAAAAGCACGAAGGGTGATGCCGTGCCGCATGATGTACAATTCCGTGCTGATTATATTGATTTTATAGTGAGGACGAGAGTAAAAGCACGAAGGGTAATGTCGTGCAGTTTATATTGATTCTTATGGTGAGTACGAGTGTAAAAGCACGAAGGATGATGTCGTGCACTTGTTTGATTTCAAATTCTTGTTGATAATTGAGACATGGTGTTCCTCACATTTACTTGTTGTCTTTCTATTTTTAATTGATGTTTCCCCGCAACATGCTTCCCCCTCCCATTCCTAACTGAACATTCCTACTTTTACTTTCCGCCGTATATGATTTAACTACACATGTTTAATTGGTAGTCTGGTCCTAGCCTCGTCACTAGTTCGCCGAGGTTAGGCTAGGCACTTACCAGCACATGGGGTCGGTTGTGCTGATACTACACTCTGCACTATGTGCAGATCCCAGCGCAGCAGCTTTTGGACCTTAGCTTGGGTGGCTGCTTTCAGTCCATACGGAGATCCAAGGTAGTCCTACAGGCGTCCGCAGGCTCTGGCGTCTCCCTCTATTCTTTCATCTTATTTCATTTATGTATTTCAGAAACAATGTCGCATTTATTTTCCTTCAGACCTTGTTTGTAGTATTCCTAGACCGTCTGTGAAATTGTGACACCAGTCTTGGGTAGTCTTTGTTTAAGAAATCATATTGGATTTATTTAAATAGTTTATTTGTTTCTTCCGCTTGTTTAAATTCCGTTGTTTATAAACTGTTGATTCACAATTGTTAAAAGATTAAAATGGGAAAAAGGTAATTTGTTCAAACGGTTGGCTTGCCTAGCTTTCACTAGTAGGCGCCATCACGACTCCCAAGAGCGGAAAATCTGGGTCGTGACAAATTGGTATCAGAGCTCTAGGTTACATAGGTCTCACAATTCACAAACAACCTTAGTAGAGTCTGAGGGATCGGTGCGGAGACGTCTGTATTTATCCCTTTGTGGCTACAGAGTTAGGAAAAACTTCACATCTATTCTTTCATGTCGTGCGGTTTGGTTCCTCAATGCTAATTGAATTTCTACTTTGTTCTTTCGCAGATGGCGAGGACACGTGCTTTCTCATCCACTGATTAGCAACCCGATCCCCCAGCAGCAACTCCCACGAGGGGCAGAGGGCGAGGTCGTGCTAGAGGCCGAGGT